ATGTGAATTTGTCTGTGTAGAAAATCACTGGTAAAGAAATGAAGTACACAGCCTTGATAGGCAAGCCAAGTGAGATCACCTACCACCACGCTGACTATCTCCTGACACAGCAGGCCAAACTCTTGGGAGTTCAACATATACGAAGGATTTACTGTGTAGGGTATGTAATACTATCATATGGTGATGGTATTCTTGGAAAGGTCTGATAGATACATAATGCCTATTACACAGTATCTGTTGTGTTGTCTGTTCAAATGTATTTTGTGTTGTTTTGACCCACTTTTGTCCAAGGAGCAGGGGAATAGGATTTTGTTGGGATAATAACAATGCCTTATGCCCCCTGTACATCACCAGAAGAACTGTAGTCTATAAGGAAAAAAAAAGTTTACCAAGTATCACTTAAGCACCAGGCCCTGTAGTCATTTTAGTAAAAAAAAAAGTTAACCTAGTACCATTTAAACACCAGGCCCTGTAGTCATCTAAGTAAAAAAAAAAAGTTAACCAAGTACCACTTAAACACCAGGCAATGTAGTCATCTACAATCTACAAAGTGACACTAATTCTAAGTAAGAGTTTTTACCAGTTCAGTATTAACTGGCAGTTACAGTGTAAAAGTAGAGTTACACTCTTTTACTTGACTATTAGAGGTTTTCTTTCTTTTAAAAATGTTGTTTACTAGTAAGTGCAGTACCATTAAAAAAGGGGGGGGGGGCATAAATGTTGCATCAGCATGCATTTTAAAATTTCTCTCACCTGAATAGTTTATTAAGTTAGTATTGTGCTGACCTAGATAGGAAGTCAACTTAGTTTCTCTAGATGCATTATATTTTCTGATTATTTTGTTTACATATTTTGTCTTGCTTCTTTCTTTTATTTAACAAATTATCATGACATTCTATAGCATTGATACAATTTTAAACTCTAAATGAGAAGCACTATATTTGGTCATCTTTTCTGTACTCGCTCCTATTTCAAGTAGCTTAAAAATGCTGTTTAACACTTTCTGACATAGTACTGGTACTCAACTTAAAAAGGTTACAGGATTTCTTTTCAACTAACCTTTAATTGTACCTACCAACTTTGGTGATATTCTGACACACTTTTGATCCAAGCAGACGTAAGAATTCACTGAGGTGTTAAATAGTGCTGCAGTGTTTCTCATCAAACTTTGAACCTCACATTTTATGGCCACTTTTCTTTTTTTTATAACTTTGAACTTGCATGATCTTCAATCAAATCCTGGGCTGTGTCATTGTAACATGGTTGAACAGCTAATGAGACGATGGCTAGGGTACAGATTGAGATTGCCAACATCTGCCTTGTTCAATAGATAGCACATTGCTTAGCTTTTAAGTTTTATGCACATCCTTCACAATTCATAATGTATCTAAGATGATTTCATTTAAGCATTGGACAGAAAAGTTTCTCATATTTCCATAGAGATTAAAGGATTTGTGTTGTTTTCAGCACTTTGTCATGGTCATTGTTTTATTGATTCAAATCTTTAACATTTTGACACTAAAGAGAAGTCACATATGAACTACTTTGTTTTTTTAAATGAATGCACATGAAAGTAGGAATTTGGTTTCTATGTCATCTTGCTAGTGGAGTAACTAATGGACCAGAGTTGGACCGAGTCACATACACGCATACACACACACTATTGCAAATCATCCGACATGTGTGGGACACAGTCAGATCTAGTTATATGATACCATTACACTACACAGTCTTGTATTTGGATTAGTTCTCTGCTTTATCCCCCATAAGTATTGCAGGCTACTGTTGTTACTAAGTAGTTTGTTTTATTATCTACATGTAATAAAATACTTTTACAAAATGCTTGAAAAAAAAATTGTGCAATCAGACATTTTGCTTTTACTTTTGACCTTTTTTCTTTATCAGAATAGTAAAAGCCAAAAAAAAAAATAGTACTTTAGTCCAGAATTGCAGGCAGATGTCAATATTTGTTGGTGGTTTTTTACCTGAAAAGTTTTATTTCTAAGTACTTGCAGACGTAGACTTTTAGTGCTAATGTTGTATTAATATCGTTGCTCCCCTTCCCGGTGCTATACATGATTTCAAGTTTTCAAGTCTCTTCGCCTCTCTCACTTAAACCTTTTAATTTTTTTTCTCTAATTTTATATTTTGTATATGTACTACACAATGTATAATGTGAAAGCCTTGTCATTCTGTGTTGAAATGATTGACGAGCACATTTTGAATGGTTGTTTTGACAATGGAAAAGATTAAGAAAAGAAGTAATAGTGACATGGTCTTGTTAAGGTCCACATAGTCTAGATAGTGTCAGCATATTTTAAAAGTTTTTATTTCTTTATGCGCCATAAACTGCATACATTTTGTCAACATGTCTAGAAATTGCTGACATGATATAGATAGTGTCAAAATGGTATTAATAGTCATATTGTGCCAAAAATTATGCTAAACAAAAGAGTTTGGTAGATCAAAAGAGGAGTTTATTAAATATTGCTTTTACTTGTGAATTATAGTGACTACAAAAGAACATAATTTTTATTCTCTTAATATCCACAGTGATAATCCAACCACAGATATATATGGTGGCAACTTGTATAATAGATATTTACAACGTAGAAGGAAAGATTCTAACACACCCAGTCAAACAGCTTCCAAGAAACGTCGGGTGGCTTCCCACAGGGCTGACGATGAGTTTCTGGATGAAGACAATGACGATGAGGATGACATGGACACTTCCATATACCAGCGAGACTCTGGGGCCAACATGCGGGTCATTAAGTCCCTGGAGGAGGATAAGTCTGGTGTGGAGAAGGCCCTGAGCTGTGAGACTATTCTGGTGTGCACCGGGGTGTTTAAGAAAGGGACTGAGACCACTGCTCTGCTTAGCCCTCGGCTCATCTGCAACCACAACCACAGGGATTTCGTTATAGACCCCATGCTCATTAACCCAACTCATGTCGTGCCTGATGTACTGGAAGCTGTCAAACTTGTGTTTGAGAAAGAGACCTACCCATAAAACCATTTTTTTTTCTTTTTAATGTTGTAAAAAGTGAGAGAAGATTGACCTGACCTATGTAAGTGCTCATTCAGGCGTATTAGTCCTAACAAGCCCTTGGTTATTTCAGTCTTGTACATCTAAGTATTTCATGAACTTAAGTGGTGCAATGGACATGCGTTCAAGAAGATGTGAATACGTGACATGTTAAAAGCTTAAGGCAGAACGCAGGAAAGAATAAGTGGCTGCTGATTTTTTTGAAACAAATGAGATAGTCATAGGGCTAAGGTTAGTATTAACAAGCCCAATCAAATAAATGGCACTCTACTCATTCACATCCACAATACTCTGTACATTGTCATTGGTCTACTTTGATGTTTGTTGACTTACAATCCTACGCAAATGTAGTCCTAGGTTAGGGTTGGGGTTGCACTGACAGCTCAAGTGACATTAACATGCTTCAGCCTCTGTACAGCCACGATCCTATTTGTGTAGATGTTACTGTTACGGCTAAACAAATCCTTTCATGTCCTATGTTTTACATCTAGACATTAGTTGGCCTTGTATTAAACAGTATAACTGCATAAAACTTGTGGGCAATGTTTAGTTTCCTTTGAGCAGTGCTGATATCAATACTCAACACTGAAAGCAGTGTCTAGTGAACTGTTCAGAAACTTGTGTTTTTGTCAAGTTTGCTAAATAACATGTTGGTATTTGTTTCTCATGCTGATATTTTGTTAGCTATATTTTGCATGAAAGCTGTGTTCCATTTGCTAATTGCTGGCATAACAAAGTGCCAGTAGTGATATGTTTTTACAGCTTAATAATATTGTTAGTGACATGCAAGCTGCAACTGTTTTATAATAAGTACCAATGTACCTTTTAAGTAATGAAAGTTTTTAAACTCTTGCTAATAATACAAGCGTATCGTTCCTTAGGACCCTCTAGATCTGGTCTCTTGTGTACATCATCATTGTTTTTGTTAATACATTTGACATTGGGATTCTTGTACATAGTCTAGTTCAAAATGCCTGTGGTACATAATCTGTGAAAAACAAAATCTTTTATACTTGCTTGTGTTCCGAAAGAGTCGCTCATTTCCATATGCTAGCTACCAAAGTTGTGCTTCACAAAGACTGCTGTTCCATTGGAATATGAATACATTCTGCTCTGGTTATTCTTTAAAATGTTGCCTAATTTTGCCACTTTGTCATTGCTCTGGTTCAAAACATTTGTACATTTCAACTATGTAGGACCCTTCTGTGTTCGTGTTTAACAAAAAAGTGATTACCATTTTGAGATTGGTGAAGTAAAAGACTCTGTCTTGTGTGCTATGTTTTTCTGACTTGACTATTGTTTGTTATGCCAGTATACAATCCTCAGTTTAGTTAGCAATAGTCTAGATTTTTAATGATATTTCACAAGAGAATGTTGAACATATTTTTTTTTTCGAAGTCATTGACAGCGTTGCACGTTATTGTTGTATGGTATTATCACTGTCATAATGGCTCTGATTAAATGGCTAATCAACTCCTAGGTCTGTTAAATCATCTATATGTTTGCAATAATAGTTAATTATGATTGATTTAAGAGTGATCTATTTATAGAATATAAATATTTCAGAAGTACATACATAACAAAAAATTACATTTTTCTTGTCACATGACATTTATGTAAATTGGTTGCTGGTGTTGTCATTTACTTGTACATTGGTCATTTTTGTGTGTGTGTATATAGCAACATTTCAATGTTCTCTTTATTTTCTTTGATTCTCTTATATTTTTGTGTTTCTCTTATAGTCAGTTTTACACTCAATAATATCTTTCTAGCCCTTATCCTTTGCAACTTGTATAATGTCTTTTTTTTTTTTTTTATTACCTTATCGGTATGTACTTCATCTTTCACTAACTCACTTTGACCCTTGACTAGTCAGGGTGTTTTGATCCACTTTGACCCTTGACTAGTCAGGGTGTTTTGATTCACTTTGACCCTTGACTAGTCAGGGTGTTTTGATTCACTTTGACCCTTGACTAGTCAGGGTGCTTTGATTTACTTTGCCTTGACTAGTGAGGGTGTTTTGATTCACTTTGACCCTTGACTTGTTTTGAGTGCTTTGATGAACCAATCAACTCTGGCTATCCACTACTCTTTATTATGAAAGTATTTTCTTAAAAAAAAAAAAAAACAACTTCAGAACTTGATCAAACCATGTTTGTTTTTGTTTTTATTTTTTTTTTATTTATGCTGCATTCAATGCTATCAAAGGAAGATCATAAAACTTGATAGTGGACATAACAATTTCAGAATTTTTAATTAGAATTCTTGTAAAGCTTTGTCTACATTTTATGAAACAAACCTTTCACATTGTGCACATCATCTGGAGAGAAATCCTCTTTTTTTTTTGGTAGTTAGTAAATAAATGCAGTATTTAATGTCTGGATTCTATTCTCGTGTTTAATAGAGAAGATTTACCTTTTAAAAATTATGTTGTAAGTTTTTGAAAATGTTGTAGTTTAACACGGATACAAGTTGGATGTGGCATTTTTGTACGTTAGTAAACTTCTTTTGAATCCTAGTTCCTCTTCAATGCAGTTTATATACCGGAGCTTGATACTTGCATCCAAATCTGGGGTTTTAGATCTTCCACTTCTTTTGATCAAGTTTGATAATGGAACTGAAAAGATTCTCTCCCCTTTTCTCTGCTCTTAGTTTGCCATTGTCAGTTAGATTCCATTGAAACAATAAGGACAATAGAATGGAACACTTTGTTTCATAAAAGTATTTTGAGTCGCCAAATAAGTTGAAAATGTACTAATGATTCCTTTGTCTTTGTTATGAAACCACAGCAAAATAATATTTTTTTTTTTTTTCCAAATTTCTTTTCCAGTTTGATGAAACCCAAAGACTTTAATATTTGTGTTTGATTTTCCTGAATTGATATTGATTGCTCTATTTGCCCAAATAATGCAGGTTTATTCATAAATGTTTATTTTATTGCTAGTTTGTTCTTCTGTTTGGATACCCTCATTCTTGTAAGCATTTTAATTTGATGTGACTATCTCTGTAGTTCTCTCCACTTGTGTACAGTCCACTTATTTGTCCCACAAGTTCTCTTACAGACTTGTCACAATTTTTTTTTTTTGTATTCTTCCAACAAACCTGGTGGCTTTTAATTATTGTTCTCAACAGTCTACACAGATTTATACTTGTTATTTTGAACCATCTGACATGTGTGATCTCTCTTTGATGTATTTTTTTAAAAATGTTTATTTCTTTGTGTTCAAACCCTACCAGCTAAAACCCATCACATAGAGATTATCAGTTTTGTATGTCAATAAAATGTGGCATTTATGAAACCAATAATTTTTCTTAAATTACAAGAACTGACTACTGTTGCGACTGTTTGCTTATATCAGAGTGATGTATCACAATACATTATTCATACTAAATATTTATGTGAAGATCTTTTATTGTGTGTACATATTAAAGGTGTCTGCATACATGGATGTTGGTGACAGAGCTGTCAGAAAATAGTTGGTTACTTTTGTCTTCTACTCCAATGTTTACATTAAATCTATGATTGAAATATTCAAGTTAAGTGTTGGTTTCATGTTTGTGTTATGGGGGGAGCTATTTCTTGACAGACATTCTGAGTCTACAACATTTGTAGTAGTAGATTAGCCCAAAGTGGTAGAGTAATTGAAAGGCATGTACACCTTTAGACATACTCAAGTATTACATATGCAATTCAAGTATTGTATATGCAGTGGAAATTTCTTTTTAAGTATAAACATCCATGCACACAGGACTATTGAATGTTATGTTTAGGATGGATGCAAGAAAAGTTAAGGCTCTGTTCAGTATTTATTGCTATTAAACACCTCATTGACAAAAAGCTACCAAGTTCAATGACAATAATTCTACGTGTATATTCTAAGATTTTGTTTTTCATATATCAAACTGGGTTTGTTAAAAAAAAAAAAAAAAAAACAACTATTAGCTTGAGTGGAAGATGCAGACAACATACTTAGCACAGATTTTTTCTCTTATACAAATTTGACAAATGAGTGTGGAGTTGTTACTCTATTACTACTAGACACAAAGTTTGTCTAAACTATCTGAAATCTAACATAAGTGAGGCTGAGTGACATGAACTGCATGAGAGTTGAAATCTCTTTTTTATTTCAAATTTTAATCAACTGTGTGTTTACTGAAGAGCTCAGGACGGTTTGATAACATTTGACCAGATCTCCACCCAAAGAAATAGGATCAGGTTATGAAGTGAATTGTAAATGTAATGTACAAATAGTAATTGTCACTGACTCAATTCAATGGAGGGCATGGAAATTGTCTATGGTCAGAGCATTGTCACCCACATAGCAGTTCCCCCTGCTCTATGCAACTTTTTGGGTCTAAAGCAGCAATAGCCGATACAGTCTTGGGTTAGCAGTCAAAGGCTATGCCAAAGTGTAGCACTGCTACAAGCTGCCTAAAGTGACCATCTAATTTTTCTAAGGGTTGACTCCCAAAGACTTTCCTGAGTTTTGAGTTTAGCAGCAAGGCAGGGAAGTTTGGATTTAGAGTGTAATATTACAAATTCATATTTACTATCAGGTACCTGTAGAAACAGATGTTCATTATATTCATTTTGATTGCCAAATGCCTCACCTTAGCTTATCTTGGAGTTTTATCTGACCATGTTATTATTTGTTATTAAAGATTCATTCTCTTTTAACCTATTAGCACGCTTCTCCATGTCATTAAAAAATGCTTTAATGTTATGAAAATAATTTTTATAGTGATCTGGTATATCACTTCTTATATTTAGTTTTGAAATATGTAAATAGTTACAGAAAACTGTCCAGTGTCACTACTAAATCATGATTGCAGACAATTCAATTATATTGGACAGCGTAAAAGAGGGACACCCAAAGGTAGGCTTAGATGATGACAACTTAAATAGACCCCTGGAGGACAAAGGCTTTGTCTGCTAGATGTAGCAAAATATGCAGGTAACAACTGGATTTGCATGGTAATGTGAAATAATGCACTCAGAATGGAAGGCAGTGCCTTATATACAATAGTTTTTAACTCTTTCTCTCCGTAATTATGTTACCACATTCTGGTGGAATCAACTCTGGTATCGTCAGTTAGGAGAGAAAGAGTTAAAACTGGGATGCATATTACTTTAAAAAAAAAAAAGACTAAAAATCTCTCACTAACTTCAAATCCTCACCACTAGTAATGTGTATCCAAAAAAAAAAAAAGTAAAAGCTTCCCTTTCAGACCTTGCAATTTATTAGGCAGATGATGGTCTTCTGTTTCTATGACAGACGGTTAATGAGGGTCTCATGTGGCCAGCACAACAACTAACTGCCTTTTTTTTACCCCAACCAATGTCAGGTACCCATTAGAATTGGGTCTATGTGTATGAAAACCACACACACAAATTGCCAAAACATTATTCCAAGAAAATAAAAATGTTTAGTAAATATAAAAGCTTCATAGAAATCAACAACAACTCGTACACACAAAGATAAATACTTTTTATTTTACATACGATGCAATGAAGTCTTGACAATAAATAACAGAATGAACAATTTAATCACAACTGGTTGGACAAATGTTTTACAATAACCTACGATACACTCTTCTCACATCAATAAAATACTTATGTCTCTAAAGTGATTTGATGCACTGAGTCTATCAACCAAACAAAAACAAAAAAAAGCTTAGACCAAGACTAGCACTGACTTACAGTAGAGCAAATTTACCACATTTTAAAAAAATGTTTTCAGAATCAGTGGTCTAAAATAAAACTTATCTGTTACTCTGGACATGGTTAAGCAGGGTGTTGTGTGGTTAGCAAAAGAACTTCAACTTCATCTAAACCATTCTCAAGTTTGCATTAGAACTGCTTGCGGAGTTGTAAGAAAAAACTGCAACGATAAATCCAAGCCTTCATGGAAGATGAGAAGCCCAGCACAACTAACAACCAGACATCATGTAATAATAAGGCAGCTAAACTAAAATTTACATTTTGTAAACTGTGATAAGCCATAAGAAACTATCAAAATGAAAATCCACAAATGAAACAGAATGAAAGTTAATATACAGTCAATTATGATCACACTACTGAGTGATGTTTAGTTGTATAGAAAAAAGCTCTAGTTCTAAGTTAATGCTGGTCTAAGAGACATTCGAGTCAGATCAAAGGCACAACAATCCTTCATTTCTTCATTATGTTGGACAATTTTTTGCTTCATATTTCTAGAAACTTCTAGTCTGAATTCCTTTACAACCTTCTGTCTAATTGAAAGTTGTGAACAAATTGTTTGCCATTGCAATCTCCACACCAAATTGTCTATTCTGGGAGATCAGGAGTAAACTCTTTACTCAGGAAGGAAGTTTTATCTTTAAAATTTTTTTACTAACCTTTCACTTGAAAAAAAAAAATATTAAAATCCTGCAGAATTTTGTTCGCAACTATTTTTTTTGTTTGTTCAAAAACAGTGAAAGAAATGTGGATAAAACTAATGACTGACCAAGTCACAATCAGATGAAAAAATGATTTTCAAAAATCATGTTCACTTTCTTTACAAGCACTGAAAATGAATGGATAGATATTTAAAACATTCTTTGTTTATGCAAAAAAAAAAGTATTACATTAGCCAAATCACAACTGGAGTTACAATGATTTTGTTAGAAGTTTCAATCTCCCCCCCCCCCCTCTCCCTTGCCCCCAATCTCCCCCCCCCAACAAATGTGTATAATGTGAAACAGAGGTCAACATAAAAAAAATAACATTTTTAAAACATGCACAAAAAAGAAAAAAGTAATACAAAAAATATTGAAGAAGTTGTTGAAAAATCAGAATATAAATGTTAATAGCCAGCAAAAAAGAATTGCCAAGCCAAAACTAAATCAAATAGTTGTAAAAAATAAAACAGATTCTATTCCCCATGTACTTATTGTAGAAGAGAACAATGTAATAGCTTGTTCCAATAAAACCAACTCAACCAAAGTATATTGCACAATGAGATGACCTTAAGATATTTCCATATCACACGACCAGGCATCTATCAACCAGATAGCTATTCATGACATGGCTCACAAGATTTCTTTAGTAAGTACACTGTCTTATAGGAAGCCAGGTAAAATGTTGCACACTTTCTTATTCTTCACACCCAAAGACATCCATCCTTACATCCATCGACTTCTGCCTTACATTCATTGACTTTCGGGAGAGATACAAAATAAAAATACTTTTGAACGAGCTTCTTAAAATATGAATTTAATTAATAATATGAGCCCTATATGTTGTTTAACGACATTATGTCTGTCAATCAGTCCCCCACAAAGGTACATTGACGGGCCCAACCAACTGAAACTAAAACAATGGATTCACCAATAACTGTGGAAGGGAAGATGTGAACACTTTCAGCAGACACACACAGTGGCCCCAGTCAATACACTATCAAAACAGAAAGACTTACACTCACATAGGTAGGAGATACAATTAACACCAGGGGATTCATCAGAGCGCAGACATTGCCTCCCAAGACACAAAGAGAGCCATATTACAAGGGTTTTAAAAATCTCTTTGTTAATTTTTTTTTTTTTAAAAAAAGGAAAGCAATTGATTGAAAATATGTACACATGCTAATACCATTATTTTAACATTTTAAAAAATTAATTTTATTATTGTATCCCCTTAACTACAATGACCAAAACAAGAGAAGGTAACTCAGGGAAATTGAAAAATAATAATGGAGATGTCACAACTGCAAAGGAAATTTTGAAGCCCACCAAAAAATAATTATTAGAAATAGTACATTCATTATTGTCTTCTATTGTTTTACAAACAAAATTTATAACAAAATAAAAAAAAATATATATATATATAGTTCAATATACACATGCAATATGTATATTAATATGATTTTATAAAATTTTCAACAACTTTTTGTTACATGAAATTTTATAGTATTTGTTTTTTGTTAATATCATAAAGAAGGGAATTAGTTTAGTATTACAATTCCTGGTGTGTCCCTGTCTTTCATCTAAGTAAGTGACATTTTCTCTGACATTTTGACTGCCACAAATGGATTATCTTCATCCTATGAAAATGAATGCACAGGATTTAAAAAGTTACTCAAAAGACAAAGATCTATAACAATACAAAGAAATAACATACAGAGTGAAGACCAAGGCTAAGACTGATTTATTGATTCTTATTGTAAATTGTGATAGGCTTCAACCTTCTAGTTGTATGATGGCTGTTTCGACAGTTTCTTGCATGGGCGTATTAGATGTTTTTCAACAACTAATCAACAAAACCTACGCATTTACACATTGAAAGGACCAAGTCCACATCTTTAGATACTTGAATAAAGGTTAATACATAAAGGCAACAGTCGAATCTCTGTACCTAATACGATGTAGTCACCTTGAAGTTCTAACACGAAATACACAATACTAACATAAACAAGCTAAACTCCACTGTCCGTGATGTCACTTAATGTCATAAGTCCACCAACTATGGTGTGTCTCTATACTAAGTAAGTGTATTTTGATTACATAGACTTTTTCAAAGAAAAGCAACAACAGTCTAAAAAAGAGAACAGACAAACACAGTAAGATGATAAACCAATGCGACAATAAGAAAATATTTAACTGCTATTTCATAGCACCCTCATAACCTTATTGAACATCAGGTAGCAATTTAACGCATATAACTAAACACTTCAAACTATGGGGATATGTGAATGAGAGTAGGAGCTGATTGGCTACCTATCAAGAGGGCTTGAGTTTCAGTCTTACTTCAAGATGTGTTTGCTAAGTACATAAAGGCAGCACAGAAACCTTCTCCTAGATAACCCCTTCCCCAAATGATAGTTGATATTTTGGGTTTTTCGCACATTCGCACAATTTAGGCCAAGTCGTGCCCATAATCCAGGAAAT